GAGGCTTTGAGCAACCTGGTCTAGTGGAAGGTGTCCCTGCTGATGGCAGGGGGGTTGGAACTGGATAATCTTTAAGGTCCCTTCCAACCCATATTATTCTGTGATATCCTATGATTCTATGACTTAAGTGAACTTTAAATGTGTAAACAAATGTCTCTTCTTGTTTGAAGAATACTCCCTGATTAATCCAAACTCAAATGTCAGTATCTCCAAACTGAGATCATTTCCTCCTGAGCACACTCAGGTGCTTGTACCTGGGCGCTGTTTCTGTCGGTGGTGACAGAAGAGCTGAGTTTGGGAGCTCCATCCTAATGGAGGCAAACATGGTAATGTTGACCAGGATGTTCTCATTACCAAATAAAGGAGTTGTAAAAGTGACCTTTAGTGCTGAAACATCCCCAGTGCAGTAACTGAGAACCTGAGGATGTATAACCTGATTATGCTGTCTGCTAAATGCTGAAAAGAAATAGTATCTGTGCAGCAATTAGATGACAGAATAGTTAAAAAGCCATTTCAAGGGATTTCAGAAATAGCTTGGATTTGGTTTTGCCCAGAGGTTCAGTTATTTATTACACCACTACCAATTAACAAGATTTAGTTTTGAGCACAGCTAAAATTCCTTCCTTGTGTGTTACCAGCTGTAATTTTTATTATAAAACAATGAGCTTCATTCTCAGTTTAGCTATGAAAATAACATACTTAAGTACATAAGGCTAATTCTCCAACAGTTATTCCATGTGTCTTGCTTAAACCAAGGGAATAGTAAAACCTAGTGAGACATTGAGAAAAATTTTGAGTGCTTAAAAATGCAGCAATATCTGCTAATTTAACTGTTGGGCTGCATATTTCTTCCCTGAGAGATGGATTAAAGCCTTGCCAGTGTCTTAGTCTGGGTGGAACTAATTGTACGTTCATGAAGATGGTACCTGCAGCACAGCTGGTGATGCTGGCCTTTTTCTTACATTTAATGTAAATATAGTAATTCAAATAATTCGTTTAGTGTAAAATCATAGTTTGCTGTATTTGGGGCTTCTCCTCCCTTTTATGTAGAAAACTGGCATAAGAAAATCGATTTTGTTAGTAACATAGTCCTGGAAAGACTAGATTGGAGTCTCTTTTCTTGTTGCTGTAACTATATCATGCCTGGACTTTTGCTGTCTCATCTTGACCTTTCTTGTGTTTCATGAGTTTAGTGATTTATTTTTAATTTTTTTTTTTAATGCCAGTTTGAGCCAAGAAACATTATACATTAAACTATTTCCAGTTTTCCTCCAGAATTTTGATACTGTGTTCTAGGAACTGAGGGGGAAAGCAAAGAATCAAGACATTGGTCCCTTCTCCCCAGACTTTTTTGGGTTTTTTTCCTGAGATGTGTTCAAAACACCATGCATGCTGTAAATAGTAGACTGGATGTTTTTTTTTCTCTTGGTTTACTTCAGGAGGTGTTTTGGGTCAAACTAAGCAGTTGTTCTTGTGGTCATCAAGGTGGTAATTTCCTGGGACAGTCAGAGAAGAGCTCACTCACAGGAACAGCCGCTGCAGGAGGTACAGCTAGCTGTGAAGGCAGAATGAGCGAGAAATGATAAATCAAAATGACAGGATGTGCTTAAATCCCACTCATCTGCTAAAAACGGCCACAAAGAAAATGTAAACATCTCCCAGCCGTGCTTCAGACCTCGTAATGCTGGAACAGTCCTGCAGAAACTCGCTCAGATGGAGATTCCTGAGGTTGTTTTTGTGTTCCTGTCTGTGTGTCCTGGTTCCTTCTTTCTGGGCGCTGCTCTTCCAGCTTGTCCAACTGCTTTCTGGCTCTTCAGTGACTCTTGCTGGAAAGCAAAGCTCAGAAACTGGAAACAAGCAAATAAAGGATTAGAGGATAGAAAATGCCTATTTATTTGATAGTCTTAGTGCAGCTCTTGGGGTTTTATACTCACTATGCAGTAGGAGATTAGGGAAGGGGAAGGAGTAGACACCAAGACTACAAGGAGTAGATAGTGCTGTTAGCTGTTGTTGAATACACAGAGTGGCTGACAATTGTAGACCAAAAGTGCCATCATCATCTGCCAGTCCAACCTGTCCCTTCAAACGTTTGCCATGTGTTCCCTGCTGAGGCCTCTGCAGTCTCTGTGCAGCTCCTACTGTGTTAGTGGCGTCTACACGATGACCTTCCATTGAAAGATTAACACTGTCTGGTTTTGCTTATCATAGAATCACAGAATGTATTGAGTTGGAAGGGACCTTCAAAGATCATCTAGTCCAACCCCCCTGCAGTGAGCAGGGACATCTTCACTAGAGCAGGTTGCTCAGAGCCCCATCAAGCCTGACCTTGAATATCTCCAGGGATGGGGCTTCCACTACATCTCTGGGCAACCTGTTCCAATGATCCCCCACCCTCATATTGAGCAACTTGTTCCTAATATCCAACCTAAATCTGCCCTTTTCTAATTTAAAACCATTACCCCTCAACCTATTGCTGCGTGCCCTTGGGAACAGTTCTTCCCCAGCTTTCTTAGAGGCACCTTTCAGGTACTGGGAGGCTGCTAGAAGGTCCCCCCAGAGCCTTCTCTTCTCCAGGCTGAACAGCCCCAACTCTCTCAGCCTGTCCTCACAGGAGAGGTGCTGCAGCCCTTGGATCATTTTTGTGGCCTCCTCTGGACTCGCTTCAACAGGTCCATGTCCTTCTTGTGTTGAGGGCTCCAAAACTGGATGCAGGGAGGTCTCACCAGAGCAGAGTAGAGGGGTAGAATCACCTCTCTCAATCTGCTGGCCACACTTCTTTTGATGCAGCCCAGGATGCCGTTGGCTCATGTCCAGCTTTTCATCCACTACTACCCCTAAGTCCTTTTCCTCAGGGCTGCTTCCCAGCACATCATCTCCCAGGCTGTATTGATAACGAGGATTGTCCCCTCCCAGGTGCAGGACCCTGTACTTGGCCTTGTTGAACCTGGTGAGGTTCACCTGGGCCCACTTCTCCAGCCTGTCCAGGTCCCTCTGGATGGCACCCCGTTAATTAATTGCCAATACTATGATATTACATGGTGTATAGCAACAAACTAGCTACTCTTTCAAAATTAGCTAAACTTGTCACCAGAATGGTGGAAGATCAAAATTGGGAATGGAGTGAAGTTAAATATGTTGCTGTTTATTGGAGTATCTTGTAGAAGGAGAAATAAATAGTTGGATTCACTCAGGTACAAGTTTTCAGAGATGCCAAGAAACAAAGTGGCTTCTCTCTTTGGCCTTTTAAAGGAAAACAACGAACAAACTGCTTCAAAATAAATAAAAAGTGTTATTTGTCATCACAGCCAGCTGAGGGGGAAACAGAGTATGGCCTTGATGTGTTTGCTACTTCATCAACAGGTTTAGGAGCAATCTTCTTGCTTTCAGGCTTTACATGGAGCTAAGAGGAGCTGGTTTCCATGAGACTTAACTGAATGTCTTCTAACTCATTCTGGTGAGAAGCTGGCATTCTGATAACTCTGAAATGAGGGATTTTTCTAAAATTAGCAAAGCCCTTGCAGCTTGGGAATAGGCTGTGAAGTCTGGTGCCAGGTGTGATCTGTGAATGACGCTCTGGATTTCTCACAGTGATTTATTTACGTGTTGTAATCCCCTCTTGTCTCTTACAGCTATAAATAGGTTTTGGAGAAGTGCATTTTTACCCTCCTCTTTCAGTTGGATTTAAACTACTGATGAGTTTAGTAAATATACTGGTATGTTTAAGTTTTGTCTTTGTTTGTTTGTTTGTTTGAAGGTAAACTGGATGAAGTATATGAAGCCCTGACCAATGCTCATCCCAACATGACTGTATATAAAAAGGAGCAGGTTCCAGATAGATTACATTACAAACACAACAGAAAAATACAGCCAATCTTGGCACTGGCTGATAAAGGATGGGAAATTGTATATAATAAGTCTGATGGTTTTCTATGTAAGTATTCTGTATTTTACAGCATTTTGCTACATCTTCCTAGTCAGAGAATTTACGTGGTACTTCCTCAATCTCAAACAGTATTTTATTTT